TTATTGGTTAAAGGGTTATATTGTTTTGAATTAAACTCAATAATTAGATAGCATTTTTTTTTTAATTTAGCAGACGACACTTTTAAGTAAAACATGACGTTAACAGAACAAAAAAAATCGAATTTGTGCACAGTACATTTGTATATTAAACACAAAAATGAAGTGTTGTTTTCTCTACATCTCAAAATGACACTAGCTGTCATATGCATTTATTTGAGGTTATAAAGCTATATTTAATGCAAAAATAGTATATCATTATACATTTTTAAACGATAGTATAACAGTGCTTCTATAATCTTATGGCCGATTCTCAAAAGAATTTTAACTTTTAATGTCTCTTTAATCTAACATTACATGGATGTTGTACGTACACTAATAAAATATTCCGGAACAAAATACTATGTTGCTATTTAAAGTAGGGGTATAAAAGTTTATTTTAACAACTGGAAACAATAAAATGTCCCGGAACAAAATATTATTAGGGGTTTAAATGGCTGATGCATGATTTCGTGCATGCGCCATTCGCTCAAGAGGTAGGATGCAGACTCATTTCTTTTATACTTGTATTTAGATGATATTCTAATAACAAATCATGCAGCTGCAGTTTTTTTTAGCTGCTTTCTACAATCGATTTTTTTTATGATTATGAAATCTATATACGTTACATATTCTTGTTTTCTATAGATTGTATGTTTTATAATAATAATTTTTATTATATACATGTAATTTGAACATATACGAAACAAAATAAGATTGTGCCTGAACTTAGAATAACCCGTTGTTAACGTGAATAATTTTAAAGGGAGACACAGGCAAAATTTTCATTTCTTAGTTTTGAATTTTTCATTAAATATTCTGTAAATGCCCTCAAAATGAATATATTAGACAGTCAAAGGAGCAAAACGTTTCTCCATATAAAGAATAAAATGATGGTTTCCTAACTTGACCCGCGTGGGTCAGGTTAGAGCGCTAACATTTCACAATAGTGGTCAAAGTGAACTCTGGAAACGTTAAAGAGCATGTCAAATGTATGACTTAGACTTGTTTCAATCATACAATATCCACAATATCTGTTATTGTAACTTCAAGGGTTTTTTCAAGTCACCTGACTTGTATTAAAACTATTTGGTGATTTTATTTGCGTCTAAATTCTGTTCAACATAAATAGATAAATTTACGCTTTAAACCTAAAATATATATAATATATACAGAAGTTCATGCTGAAACTTTAAGAAAAGTCATTTTAGCGTGATTTGAGTACATAAGATCATTTTAATATTTTTGTCATTATTTTGCCTGAATATCCCTTTAAACGCTAGATTCTATTTGTATTTTTCTGACGTACCGGGAATGACGTTTGCCTATCACGTTTGTTACATACATTTTTGTCTTGACATTATAGTCGCATAGATTTGACATTAACAGCTGCAATGATTGTTACAACTAGTTTAACAACATTACGGAAACGTAAAAGGGCCTCCATTTACAATGAGGTGTAAGACGACTAATTTTTGTGCGATTTTACTAGATATTTTAACACACAAAGAAAAGACCTTTTTTGTCATGCCTAGTTACGGAAACGTTAAAGAACCTCCATTTAGTGTAATAATGAGGGGTAAAGCGATTGATGTTTGTTCGATTTTGATTAGATATTTTAACACATATCAATTTATTTTATTCACAAAGAAAATACCTTTGTTGTCATTTCCTAGTTACGGAAACGTTAAAGGGCCTCCATTTTGTGCAATCATGAGGTGTAAGATAACTAATTTTTGTAATAATGAGGGGTAAGACGATCGATGTTTGTTCGATTTTGATTAGATATTTTAACACAAATTAATTTATTTTATTCATAAAGATTAGACCAGTGTTTGTCCTTCTTAGTTACGGAAACGTTAAAAGGATTCCATTTAGTGCAGTCATGAGGTGAAAGATAACTAATTTTTGTTTAATTTAATAAAAAAATTTTTTACACAAATTAATTTAAAAAAAAAGACTAGACCAGTTTTTGTCATTCTTAGTCATTTTCTAAAACTGCTTGAAGGTTTTCTGCTTAGGCGAATTGTTATCGAAAAACAAATGTTTTACAAAAGACAAAAATATACCTTTTCGCTTAGAAAATAGAATATCGCGAAAATGTTCGGCGAAATAATATCTTTGTGACTAAAATTAATGCATTTATATTAAACACATCATGACCTAACTTATTGGTGGCCCTTTAACGTTTCCGTACACCATACCATACATCATTATTGTAATTTATCAAGTTACATTTATACACAGGGACTGTCATTCGTTTGGATAGACATTGCACTTAATTGAGTTTAAACGACAAAACTATATAAACTGGACATATCATTTTTGTTTTGTTTTGACTGCTTGAACAGTGTGACAATTGTTGTTATTTTATTACCTGTATAAACTATGATCAACAGTGAATTGTCTTATTTATTGAGAAAACAAAAATATAAAACTGACCCTTTTATGTGTTTATCTATATGTTTACGTTTTTATTGATACATTCTACATATCTATTTGACATGCGCTTTGTTTTAATTGTTTTCTTTAAAAAAAAAAAAAAATAGAATGTTGTTTTTTTTTTGTATTATTAAAGGGACCCCACTCAGTTTTTTGACATGACAGGACTGGAAATATTTTGTATCTGAGATTTGTGTACCATTTGATATATGTCTGGACTAATAACTTGTGTGCAAATTTTCAGATATTTCCCTCACCCCGTGATTCTAAAATATTAATAATTTTTATTGTGAAATTGACCCAAAATGAAAGCGTTGCAACGCTTTTCACTCAAATCGGACTAAAATCGCTTAAAAAAATCGATATTCAAGTTAATTCTGGGTACATTTCTATATTATTACACTTTGCAGATTTTTCCATTTTAATTGCTTCACTTAATCTAAAAGTATGTAAGAATTTCATTTTTAATGTTTGTTTTTTTACCTCAGTGGACCCCATTTAAGTTAATGCTTTCCTTTTTAAAACAAAATAAGATCTGATATATCATTTGTATAAATGGCCTGCATAAAGAAGATTTAAACTTTGCTGTTTTAAAACAGTATAAGGATAATGTTTAAAGCTGGACACTCAGTAAATTTAAAGAATAAAGTTTCTTGACAAACGATATTTCAAACTGAAATATTGTTATGGCAACATACATGTATTAGGTAATGTCAATTTCAAGCTTAAGTTTTATTCACCTATTTGATTTGTCATGTCTTAACTTTTCGCTTTATACAGCATTTATTACTTTGTAATTTATTTCAAATATCAATTATATAGATATTAAACATAAACATGGATACGCTCGAGGCAATATGAAGATTCTAAAGTAATAAAATTTTCGTCGTTATGAAGTATGACTACGGTTTAAATACGTCAGATGTGTAAACAAACAAATAAAATATCAAATGTCAATGCCTTAAAGGAATAACATTCTGAAATTAGAAAATATTGATAACTGCTACACAGTCTATTTGTAAATAAATAAAATAATTTTCTGACTTCACACAAATTTAAAGACTAGTAGTGGTCACAATATGAATATATAGTGTCATTAAAACAACTGGCATTTTTATTTGACTTTACTTGACCTGTAATAAGAAACTTATTGTATTGTTCTTAACCTTGTTATCCTATCGATAAAATCATTTATGAATACATAAAATCATTCACGAATATATATATTCTTGATTATATAAAATTATTCATATTTATAGCATGTTATTATGAATAATAATACAGGTTGATGCGTTTACTATGTTTTTTCCTAAATTTGCTGATATTTAAAATCTTTCTTTTAAAACCAATTAAATGGATCGTAATTTGATAGTTATTGTTTAAAACTTATCATGTAAAATGTAATTGATGAAATAAATTGCCGTGAGAAATGTATACGAATTAAACGCTATATAAAACGATGATTTAATTAACAATGCAAGTGTTTTGCATGTTAAACATCTCGCCTACACACGTACATCAATCTACGAAAGACCGGTGGAGACATTTCAACTACGTCGTTGAAATCGTGAATTCACGAAGTTGAAATAGTGAATTCATGAGGTTAAATTAATGAAATCGTGAACTTTGAATGTTGAAATCGTGAATTCGTGAAGCTGTAATCTGAAATTCGTTCAGTTGAAATTCTTGAATTCATGGAGCTGAATTCGTGAATTCTAGATGATTAAATCGTGAATTCGTGAATTCTATATGTTGAAAACGCGAATTCATGAAGTTGAATTCATGATTTTGTGATTCTGAAGTTGAATTCGTGAATTTATGAAGTTGAAATCGTGAATTCATGAAGTTGAAATCGTAACTTCATAAAGTTGAAATATTGAATTCATGAAGATAAAATCTTGGAATTCATGATGTTGAAATCTTGAATTCTTTAAGTTGAAACCGTAAATTCATGAAATTGAAATCGTGAATTCTGAATGTTAAAATGATGAACCCGAGAATTACTTAAGTTTGAAATGTCATCAACGGTCTTTCGTATCATACAGAATATTTCCAGAGTGTTAATTCTTTACAAGATGTATCTCAATTTAACCAAATATATCTTAAAAATGATTATAAATTATTTGCTGTCAAAGTTAACATTCAATTAAAACGTTTTAAACTGTCATCCAATTACTGCAGTCAGTTTGACAGTATAGATGATCTTAAACAAAAACGATCTCATTTATTTTTTTCTCAGTTACAAAATATAAAATAAGTAAATCAAATTTATCTTAAAAGTAAAAAATAAAATAAATAAATAAATATTTTTCTTGATCAGTCACATTTGATAAACGGATAAACTTTTGATAAAAATTAAACCCTGTGGGTGGGTCGTATTTAAAAGTCCTTCGTTGAGCCAACCCAATGATAAATTTTAATTCAAAATTGACATATTTTATTTAATTATACATTATTATACTTTTTTACTGAAAAGTCTCCTCCCAGCCTCTAAAAATGTACATATATATTAAATTAATTACCTTTTATTATTTTCCGTATTAACATCGTGTGAAAAATATAAACTTGCAAATCCTTCATTGTTTCAATGATAAACATCTCACTAAAATACGATAAACATATCCACCGGCCCACTGTCACCGAAATAAACTTGCAAAATAAAGTATTTCCACAGTAATAACACTGGTGGTTTTGTGATGGAGAGCAGTTTAACATTTGGAGCGTGGCGCGTGATTATTTACTAAGCCATGTAAAAGTCGTATGTATATAAAAACAACTTATATATCGCCTGCATTTTCATTTCTTTGTAGCAATTAAACGCACTCGACCGGAGTCAAGTTCATCTGTTAATAAGATATTATTTTTTTTCTTTATATGTGACGCACTTTCTGTCATGACTTGAAAAATAATAATCTTTATTGATTTGAATGTGATTTCTTTTCTTTGCCATTTACTTTTTATTTTAATATCATGTTATTTATTATCATTATTTGTTTATAAAATACAAAAAGTAATAGAAATAGGTCATCGAAACACGAGGCTATCTGATTTGTACGAGGTGAACGTATTTAACTCTGACATGTTTTCAATAGTAAGGTCTCCAAACTATGATAAAATTTATTGTTTTTGTTCCTTTTTGCTCATACCACAGTTGTTTTGGTCCAATTCTATTCGATAGCCTGGTAAATGTTTTATTTGTTGTTGTTGTTGTTTTTTACCTTATATATTTTTGTTTCTGTGGTTGAATTATATGGATTGCTGAATGTTTTGTTCCTTTCTGCTCAGATGGCGTTTTTTTGCCCCGTCTCTGTTCTGTGCTCTGATGAATGTTTTGCGGTCCTATATGGCTGGACGGATACCGGTGCTGCGTTCGTTCCCTGCACATTACTATCCTTTATTATTATTTTCTTTTTTAGAATACCCGTATTTTACATAAGATATTCTATATCTGTTTGACGCTTTATCTCAAATGGTTAAGTTCATTTTTTGAAAATTATATTAAATACATGTAACCTCCTAATATTCAGACTCGTTCATTTAACAGAACAGAAAATATACATTATTACTTTTAGAATTGAGCCAACATGACTCCTATTCTATAGAAACGTGTATGATCGTAATCAAATAACAATAACAAGACAATTGTTGATAACTAGTAAACAGTCTATTGACAATGTATATATATAGCATTACTGTATTGATAATAAAATGTGGGAAAAAACGAACAAACAAAGAAACAACAACAACAAAAAGAAAAAAAGAGAAAAAAAGACAACAAGCAAACAAACAGAAAAAAAAAACTTTAAAAACACAACAAAACAACAACCACGACGCCCCCCCCCAAAAAAAAAAGATAAATATATATATATATATATATATTAAATAAATAAATAAATAATAATAATAAAAACATAAAATAAAATAAATAAATTAAAAAAAAAACGAAAAAAAAAGTTTGCTTATGCCTTCGATTTACATACTATTTTCGGCTATAGAGTCCAATGTTCGGTTAAACAACTTGTCAGTATTTGAACTGACAATGTAACATTCCAATCGATAGAGACAACAACAAATATGATGACAGCTAAATGTCAGTGGCCATGACAGTATCATGTACATTTCAGTCAATGTTGTCGGTGATACTTGTTGAACGAACAATTACCAAGCCGGTAACATTTTGTTGTTACACGTATCATCTCGGGTGATACTGCAGTATTGGCAATCGTCATTTCTCTTTTTTTTTCGGACAAAGTAAGTCTAAAATCAGTTTGAATTCGTATAAAATTAACAAGGAAGGACGGAATATTAGAATAACTTTCATTGGTCATTTTAAGATTTCAAACTGAAATCGGGCAATCTCATTATTTGTCCTGTCTTCATTTACATCGGAATTTTCACGAAACAGTTATACCAGTACTTTGTTATGCAACTAACAACATTCCTCGTGAACAACGATATTGTCAGTACTGTAATAATTTAGATTTAGAGGATGAGTATCATGTTATATGTGTCTGTTCAAGATTTGAAGATTTACGCAGAAAACATCTTAAAAGTTACTGTTATAACAGACCATCTATGTTATTTTTTTAAATCACTTTGTATTAGTAACATAAATACATTTATAAATGTTTACAAATATATTTATTAAAGGAGCTTTAAAACTAAGAAATTCAATTTCGAACCTCAATTGTAGTTGTTCGTATTAGGAATTTGGTGCTTTTCCAATTGTAGGCTTTATATTTATAATCATAAATACTCGCCATACATATATTCACGTGTATTCATTGTATTGTATATATGTATTCATTGCATTTAAACAAGACAATGTACATTTGTATAAGTCTAGAAAATAAAATTTATTTTCTGTTCTGAAAAGTTTTGTAATGATTTGAAAGAGATTCAACTGATGTTGATTTTTTTGGCTCGCCCGGAGTTGTCATATTTTTCCAAAATTTGTGTACCATTTAACGACAGTATGTACCAATAATTTGTATGCAAATTTTCAAATAATTCCATCATCCCGTTTAACCAGAATTATTATATTATTATAATGATGCAAAATTACCCAAATTTGAAAAGCGTTTCAACGCTTTCCACTTCAATCGTTTTATGAATCGCAAATCAATAGTTAACTCACTTCTGAGTATATTTCTATGTATATGTTTCTTTATAATTATATTTGCTATGACGCCATCAATTTCTTAAAGGGATACTCAGGCAAAATAATGGCAAAAATATAAAAATGATTTTCTGTACTCAAATCACCTTAAAATGACAATTCTTAAAGTCCCAACATGAATTTCTGTATAAATTCTATATATTTTGGGTTTGAAGTTTAAATATATCTATATATGTTGAACGAAATTTTGACGCGAACAGAATCACCGAAAAGTTTAAAAACAGTTCATGCGATTTGAACAAACCCTGGAAGTTACAATAACAAATATTGTGGATATTGTATGATTGAAACAAGTCTAAGTAATTGATTTGACATGTTTTTTAACGTTTCCAGAGTACAGAGTGACAACTATTGTGAAATTTTAGCGCTCTAACCTGACCCACGCGGGTCAAGTCTAAGGAAAACACCATTTTATTCTTTATATGAAGAAAAGTTTTGTTCCTTTGACTGTTTAGTATATTCATTTTGAGGACATTTACAGAATAATGAATGAAAATTTCAAAACTAAGAAATGAAAATTTTGCCTGTGTCTCCCTTTAATGAAATAATAATCTTTAATATACTTACATAATATTGCAACCGGATATGACTTAACTCTACTTCATTGAGACATTAATATAGCCCTACATATATAACATCCGGATATGACGTAACTCTACTTCAGTAACAATTATCAGTGCTCTAATTTATGTTAATCAAAAGGAGCAATATATATAAATAGATATTATATAGTTTTATTGTACTTTGCAGCATAGATTAACATACACTGTGTAAGATATTTATAATCTGTCCCACCTCTATTGTATTTTTTGATTTAAGACATTTAGACCTGGACAACAATGTTTCATACGACATAGCAACATATTAGTTACTATGATTTTATAGTGAATGGCGGCGTGGCCGAATGGTTAGCACATCTGAAGATTACAGTACTGGCGGCGTGGGTTCAAACCTCGTCAGGGGGCAAGTCGTTGCTTCGGTGAGCAAGAGACTTTACACTCATTGCTTAGTACTGGTTGGTTTCAGGAACGAGCTCAAGAGTGTTTCAATAAACCAAAACAAACGACCTAAAATATGTAAGTATAAACTAAACTATGTGTCATAGAGCATGTATATGTACTAAAGAGTTTTAAGGCTTAAGGTCAAAATATACCAACAATACACAATAAAATAACTGCCGATATAAGTTAAGCAACAAATCAAAGGGTGGACTTTGTTGCCGACTTTTTAAAAACACCACTTATCACTTAGTTCCCAACACTTATCACTATAACAGGACTATGTAATTTGGCCTCTATTGTTGCGATGAGCATCGTTTTGTTCACAAAACACTTAACTTATGTACTTGAAAAAATTTTACTAATTGACGCTGTTAAGTGCTTAAAAAGGTCTATGCCTCTCTTATTTCGAGATGTATTGAACGAAGATGAGACTGTTATAGCAGTTTCTCTCAATGGGCGTTGGAGTAAGAATGCATATTTGTATAAATATAGCATACGTTTTATAAACATGCTTGCGCCTTCGTGGAACGCCCAAACTTCTGTATTTTGATCATGTTCTAAACGGCTGAATGTTTAGTTGGATAAAATATTAACGCTGCTGTTCAGTCATATTCAGCTACAATTTAAAATAAACTATAAATACAACTTATGATTATACGTAGTATCGGTAGAAAAATAACAAAATTTCTGATAAAGGAAGACAGCTAGAGTTGCTTTTACATATAAAGGTACAGTACACCATAGCCCTAGAAGTACTAAATTAAGTTCAACTTAAGTATATGAGCCGCGTCACGACAAAACCAACATAGTGCGTTTGCAACCAGCATGGATCCAGAACAGCCTGCGCATCCGCGCAGTCTAATCAGGATACATGCTGTTCGCTTTCAGTTTCTCTACATGTAATAGGGTTTGTAAGCGAACAGCATGGATCCTGATCAGACTGTGCGGATGCGCAGGCTGGTCTGGATCCATGCCGGTCGCAAACCCATTACGTTGGTTTTGTTGTGACGCGGCTCATATATAATTATGAAAAACAACTTAACAAAATAGTTATTTTCATGTACTGATTAAAGGGACTCTGCAGTGGGTTTCTTTCTGACTGAAAATTATTTCCCGAGCTTTATGTACCATTTGATGACGGCCTGGGCCAATAAGTTATGTGCAAATCTTCTGTTTATTTCATCACCCATTTTTTTCAAAATAATATTTTTTATCATAAAAAAATGACTCAAAAGTCAAAAGCATTGCAACAATTTTCAATCAAATCGGGCTAAGAATTGCACAATTTGATTTTCAACTTAATTATAATGATTTTTTGTCAATAATGACATAATTTCAAGTTTTATTGTTTTTAGGCTTTTTGACAAGCAATAAAAGAAAAAAAATGTACAAATTAAAGAACGTCATAACACTTTTATTTAAGTATGTCGTATAAAAATGCTGAGTCAAACTCTATGTTTTGAAATATCTGTTTACAAGGTCGCTGCATGAGCTAGGGAGCTTGTCTATACGAGAACCAGATGTCTACTGAGCATGCGCAGTGAAGGAGCGAAAAGATAACGTC